AGAATTCCTAAATACCTGAATATTGTCAGCTTCTGTGATATCCTCAGAGACACAAACTCTTGCTTTTATGGATCCATTACTAACAGGAGTTCCCTTCATCTGAACCATACCTGTGCCCAGATTTGGAGGAATAATTCGATCTTCAAACTGTGGATAAGTAATAATTCAATTAAATTTACGTTTAAAATGATTGCTTAACAATAATTCCTACATTTCTTGGTATCATTTCTGGTCCTTTAATAAACTCCTCAAACTTGTATTTATCCATTTTTGGGTAAAGCCTTTTCCGGTGTCTAACTCTCGCGAGTATTAATGGATCTCTGTCTCCATTACAAAGCGCTTCCACTTCATTAGTGGTTAAGTAGAAGAATGAATCGGCTGTCGGAAGGAGTCCTTCTTTGACCATTTGTTTCGATAATAATCTAAAGCCTTGTCGGTATTTATTATTCATCCAAATCAAGAAGTGTTTGGAGAGTTCCCTATACCCCACCCCACGTCTACACCACGGAAGCAGTAGTTTCTGAATCAATAATCTCCTCCAATAGGAGAGTGGAGTCTTGAGTTCACTGACCACTTGATCCACAGATTNTGAATCAATAATCTCCTCCAATAGGAGAGTGGAGTCTTGAGTTCACTGACCACTTGATCCACAGATTTTTCAACCTTTGGTTCTAATTGTGATTCATTTCCGCTTAACATTCCCTAAAATATAATCACTTTTATAATGTAAACTGTAATACTTTAAATAATATAATTAAAAGAAGTGTTACTTTAATTGTTTTAACACAAGGAATGGGATCCTCTTTCCATGTCTTATACATCGGATCAAACTCTCGATACCCTCTGTGACCGTGTTTTTCAAGGAATTCTTTGAATTTAAGAGACGACTCATCGGTTCCCTTATATAACACTTGCAGCGCCTCCTCATCTGACAATTGTCTGAATGTTTGCTTATCTTTGATAGACTTCGCGATATCTCTCAAACTGTTGGGCACTTCAGCGCTGATCACATCATTACACGAAGAAACCATTTCAGTGAAGTCCGACTCAATGTTTGGATTATTAGCTATAAATTAGAAAAATGTGTCAAAATTAATTTAAATTGGTAATAAATTTAAATGAATATTAGTTATAATATAAGCATAATTTTGGAGATGACACTACTGCCACCCCAATTGAATATTAATTTCATGTGACACTCACTTTCGGCACTTTCGAGAATAGCTTTTAAAATAGCATTTTTAATGGATGAGCCGAAAGATACCGGTCCGTGATATTTGGATGAATTGACTCCTATCTCAAAGTATTTGTCAAACATTCCTCTCCAAATGTCTTTTGCTGTGGAATATTGTCTCAAATATTTGACCAAATCATAGGGATTTTTATCCATTAATTCAGTCTTAAGTTTAATCAAATTCTTTGGACCAAATAAAAGTGAATCCAAAACAAAATAAATGGTTTTTAGTTTCCCAACGATTGATGAACTCTTTTGCTCCAAACGTTTTTGTTTAAACATATTGAGCACATCCTTGTCGTCGATGTGATGACCAAATATGGATAATACAATTTGTTGCGATTGTTTAGTTTCAGGGTAATCGTTAAAAATATCCCACCCTCCCTATGATAATACAAATATTATATATTTAGTTAATTGCCTATTAAAAGTTTAATTAAATAGTAACAAGTTCATTCAAGATACTAACACCACTCAAATTAAACATGATTTGATTGTATTCAACGCCCATTATCTCGATATATGGGTTATAATCCTCTTCAACCGATAGTCCATTTTGTATGTTTTGACGCTATGTTTAGATATCATTTTATTAAATATATTTCAATTTCTATATTAAATTAAGTTTAAAATAATTGAGTTTTTATAATATTATATGAAAGTTAAAATATACCAAAATTCCACTTTTGTTGGCTAACATCCACTGTAAGACAATCCAAGAAGAGGCTCCGGGAAAGTTTTCACCCCAATGGGTACGGGTGTTGATCTCAAACTCTGTCGGATGAGATGAATCTAATTCATGCATAATCTCATAGTCGGTGTAAGAGTTGTCTAAATTAGTTACGGGTCTCGACTGAAGCATAAATATTTGGCCCCCGAATAGACCCCACTCTATATCTCTCGCATTTCCGTAGTGTTTGTGAATCTCAAGTC